GGAGGGAAGGAAGGAGGGAAGGAAGGAGGGAAGGAAGGAAAGAAGCAGGGAGGAAAGGAAGGAGGGATGGAGGGAAGGAAGGAAGGAATGAAGGAGGGAGGGAAGGAAGCAAGGAAGGAGAGTAAGAAGGAAGGAAGGAGGGAGGGTAGGAAGGAGGGATGGAAGGAAGGAAGGAAAGAAGGAGGGAAGGAGGGAAGGGGGAGGGAGAGAGGGAAAGAAGGAAGGAGGGAGGGAAGAGGGAGGGAAGGATGGAAGGAAAAAAGGAGGGAAGGAAGGAAAAAACTTTGGTAAAAGATGGCTGTGTTCTTTCGAAACAGTCATGCTTTGGAGAGTTTAAACTTGAGAAAAAAGAAGAAAAAAAAACGTACAAATTGGAAAGAAGTGAATGTAGAGGAGGAAGCATTGACCAGGACGTGGTGATGGTGAAGCTGAGGAGCGCTGCTAAATGAAACAGGACACTTTCATTTAGATCCAACATCTGCCTAACTCTGCCGTGCAGCCGGCTCTGCTCTGGTAGACACAGCCGACACCTCAGATGGGTTTAGACTCTGACGCCTGGTAATATTCTCCGCCTCAGGTGAAAACCTAGGCTCCGGTATTGAATCCAGCAGGTGTTGGGATATGAAAACTCAGCTCCTGAGTGGGATTTTCCATTTGAATTCATCAATCTGATCTCACTTCCCCGTGTGTCAAAAGTTATTCCTGAACTGTTCGCCATAAAAAGGTCGTTGGAGAGCAGAGAAGAAATGACTGACTTGATACTTTAACATAATCTGTTGATATAATAGTCTAATATATATATATATGTGTGTGTGTGTGTATATATGTGTATAAGAGCTGTAAACATTGTGTTTCTTCCAAACACAGATCCTTCCTGCGTGCTGGAGGATTTCTCCACATCAGAGTCCGTGGGTGTGAAAATAAAGCTACAAGGTTTGATATTTACCACTGTCGGGAAAGAAGGCATTAACGTTTGGAGCTAATCTGATTTGAAGAGCAGCAGAGCAGCGTGAATTTCCCCAGAAAAAGACGGTTTTGCTGCTACCCCCCGTCCGTCCACACCCCTCCCCCCCCTCTTAAAACTGCACAAAAATGGAGTTGGAAGAGAATAAGTGCCGACTTATATTAAATGTGCGAGGTCTGACACGGATCTGAAAAGTCAGCCGTAAATGAGACAGGAACGCAACAGATATGTGTCTATGGATTTTTTTTATTTTTTTTTATTTTTATAAAGCACAGAGAGTGACTTTTTATTTTATTTCTGGTTTCTGCACACAGTAATAAAAACATGGTTTTAATGTTGACGTTAGCGGGTCAGCAATTTGGAAATGGTTTGTACAAGAAAGAAAGAAAAAGAAAATGAAAGCGTCTATATCGATAGTGGCCTTTTTTTAAATCAGTGAACTGAAACTCTTGGCTCCCATTGGTCCTGATGCTTCAGTCAGATCTCCACTAACGTCACTGACTGTGGTTTAACCATCATTTCCTTCCATGGAGGTCAGTTCAGTGTCTTAGAGACAAATTAGTTTTTACATCAGCACTCATGGAGACCAGTGTGTGATGAAGTTTGAGGCGTAGCTGTTAATGCACAGTACAGCGCCTCCACCTGGCTGCTGTGAGGAACTGTATCTGTCCTGTTTAATGAAAGTACTGATCATTACAGTTGGAGGATGAAACGTTCTCTTCTTTAAATGTAAAGTGAAGTTCTTTTCCTTCTTTGTTTCCTGTGTTTCTCCAGTGTTCACACCCTCCTCACCCCCCACCTGAGTTTCCCTCCACAGTGATGACTTAACCTGCCTCACCTGTGTCTTGTTAACTCCTCCCCTTTTTCATTTTCTAACCCTGTCTTTTCCTCCTTCCATTTCATCAGTTTTTTTTTCTTTTCCCTGAGATGGACTTCTGGATTCTTTGCTACGTGTTCTTCAATCCAAGTTATTCTCCACTCTGAGTAAGTGCCCCCCCCTCACCCTCCGCCCACCAACTTGATTATTACAAGCACTCCTATGTGTAAGTGTGGCTCTTGTCCATGTACTCAATTTTGAAAAAAAAAATCATTATATTTTCTCAAGAATGTAGCATTAGAGCCTGAGACCCAGAGATCAGTGTTGATAAGAATTCTAGTGTGAGGTTCCAGTGTTTCTGTGGTAAACAAAAAAATTAAATACAGTTAAGATGGCCTTAAAATTCTTTTTTTTTTTTTTTTGTAATTCTGTCTCTAAGTAGTTTCTCTGAAGGACCAAGGTCACAGATGTCACGTTGATCCTTGGTCCTTTCGTTTCCTCCCACATTCTTTTTTTTTTTTCTAACCTCTGCGTTCAGGTTATGAAAGCTCTGCCTCAGATGTCCAATGATCAGTGACTTCTATTCTTTCAGATGATGAAGCATTTTTTCTAAGTCTCAGCTCTGGACTGGACTGGAGTGGAGTGGAGTGCTGCATGTTTAGGGTAAACCTGCAGTTTGTTTGTGTTTTCGTGTCTTTTTGAAGTGAGCTTTTCACAGACGTTCAGCCTCAAGTTAATCCAGTTTAATCTGCGCCAGTTGAAGTCTGAAGGCTTGTGAAGCCTTTTTTTTTTTTTTTGAGAAAATACATTTTTGATGTCTGGAAACAATTTGATGGGTTTGACAGCAGAGAGAGAAAAGGTCTCCGTGATCACGACTCTCCTCAGATTAATGATATTTCCAGAAAACTGCGCTGAGAGTTTCCTGTCCTCTGTCTCTTCTACTGTGAGCAATTACTGCAGGAAGTTGGCCAGACAGAGAGAGCTGAGAGAGAAGGAGAAATAAACTTTCTTTTAAAGTAATTTATTGTGATTTACAGATTTTAAAAGGGACTTCTTGAAAGTTGCATCTCCCCTGATTTAATTAAAAGGAAGAAGTTTCACTTACTTTATTTTTTAGTCCCGTTAAAAAACTGCTGCCCACCTAGAGTTCACCACAGGGTGTTGTAAGATGGCATGGTTGTTAAGCGATTCGTCCAGTAGGGGGCAGACCCCTTCCTTCTGCTTTGCATCCTATTTTGACCATAATGTTGTGATTTCTCTGTCCTTGAACGACATCGTAGATGACAGGTTCTCCTCAAACTGTTCTGTTGTTGCCCTCTTCTTCTCTGTTTCTATCTGGTTGCACACCGGTTTTACTGCACAACACTGCCCCCGTCCAATTGTCTGTGGTACTGCGTAGTTTCCTGTAGTTGTTTACTCATCTTGAATCCCTCCAAAAATTACTGAAATACACAGAAAACAACCGCAGGAGATGGAGGAACGTCTCTGTTGACGTTAGATTCGAGGCATCGATGTTTTAGACTCGGTGGTATTCTACTGGACGTGAGGTGAGATGATATCGGCCGACCGATATTATTGGACATCCCTAATGGAAACCAATGAGAACTAAGTCCTGTAAAGTTCTCCAAACCAGAAGCTGTAGCTCTCTGAAGATCTCAGCACGAGGTTTAACAGATGTAGGCAGCAGCCGATGAAAAGTTTCTCATAAGACTAAATATAAAAACCCAGATTTGTTCCACAGCCTGTAGTGCAGTGAGTGAGTTTTGACCTGACGTAACATGAGCTGAGCTTCCAGGCACAAGAAGACGTTTGTTGTTGAGATACTACAGAAACAGAAACGGTTCAAAGTGAGTGTACGAGTTGGTGATCTGTTTGTACGTCTGTGGTAACTAAGTATGGGATCACTTCAGTGTAGAAAGTGTGTGTGTGTGTGTATCCGTTGTTTGTGAAGTCTAGTGTATCCACACACAGATTCTGTAATTATTCTTGAATACACACTTTAGAAGCCGTTCCTCTTTACTCCAGAGCCGTTCTCCCTCAGCGTCTCCGTACAGATTGCTGCTCGTACGTCCATTTTGCCGAGGACGGAGACACAGTCATCACTCACGACTAAAACTGTGGCTAAATATTTTCAGCTACATTTATGGATCTGTGACAGGCTAAAAATCTGACGTGGTGATAAAGACGAGGGTGTGTGTACTGTAGGGGGACAGATGTGTTTCCTGTGCAGATTGTCTCACAAACCAGATCATCCCGTGTGAGAGCAGCTGAGGACCAGAACGTCGTCTTCGTGGTAATAACACCAGCTCCTAACTTCACATTTCCATCTGCGTTCCTCTGCGTCTCTGCAGGAGGGAGGGAGGGGGGAGGGGTGGAGAACGATGGAGAGAGAGAGAACGATGGAGCGAGACATTTGTCCTCTAGTCTCTGGTCACATTTGGCGTTGATTGATTGACAGATCTGCTCTCGTGAAACCTATACGTTTTCTTAAATGGCCAAAGGGACAACTTTTACCTCTCTCTTTTGTCCATTGTTGAATTCCTCCCTCGGGTTCATGTAGTAACTTTAGTGCAGCACACACAAACCTTTCTGACTGGCCGGCCACAATTGTCCATAAACTGAACAGGGGAATGTCATGTAAAAGTCCTGCACTAAGGCTAAAATGCTTTTATCATTTTCTACGCCATCTATTGGGGAAACATAAGTATTGCAGGGAAAACGGAGAAGCATAATGATAATATAAATTAAATTATATAATTTGGAAAAGTTTGGTGGGCCGGATTAAAAACCTGAACGGGCCGCATCCGGCCCCCGGGCCTTAGTTTGACCATGCATATATACATATATGTATATATATGTATGTATGTGTAAACATATTTACAAATATTCTATTATGATGGTAGATTTATAGATCAGCCAATCACTGTTGACTTGTATCCTCCTCTGTAATAAGAAACAGTGTGGAGAGAAATAAAAAGAACAGATGACAGAGATTAAGTTGAGAGAGAAAAAAGAGAGAAGAAATGAGAGAGGATTGTTGGATTTAAGAGGAACAGAAGGACAAGGAAGCCAACAGGTGTGAAAGTGTTTTCTACTGAGGGCCAGGCTGCAGCTCATTTAGGTAAGAGGAGGCAAGGAAGGAGACAGGAGGCAAGGAAGGAGACAGGAGTCAAGGAAGGAGACAGGAGTCAAGGGAACGAGCTCAGACGGAGAAGCTGAATGAAAGAGCGCCACGGGTTTGATTTAACACGGCTTGTTTTTATGAGGTTGTTAACTCCTGCTCTTTTTGCTTTGATGAAAGTGATCTTTATTTTATAAACCCCCTCTCCCTCTCCCTCACCCTCACCCCCGTCTCCCCCATCTTCATCTTCATCTGTCTCCTCAGGTAAATTATACACTAAAATACATCCAGTAGTTATAAAAATGAAGGATGTTTTTCCTCACGCAGTCAATATTCCGCACCTCATTTAGATTTTTTATACCGCAATATCACAGAAGCAAACAATCCCACGTTTGCACCGTCAAACATTTCTTCAAGTACTTTTACAGCAGATATTTCAGCTTCTCTCACTGAATATTGATCAGGTGGTCCATCCAACCAACACAAAATAGTTTTGGTTTTTAAAATACCCATGTGATAAACAGGTCGGCTCGACTGACCACTGAACGCCAACATTTAGCTACAACTTTTTTATCCACACACATAAATCTTCAGAGCCTTTTTTATCCTGAATATAGTTATATATAAAGTTGACGTACCAAAAAAGTATATATTTTTTTTCTTAATTTTAATGACAAATATGGACATAGCTATGTATTTTAAGCAAATGAGTGCATATTTAGTAATTTTTTTAAGGCAAATGAGTGCATATTTAGTAATTGTTCGAAAAACTTATTTTTGAAATCCAGCAGATCGTTATCAGTCAGATGCTGCAGACTACAATCTATTAGGACCAGACTGTTTGTACTGTATATTATGGCTGCCTGTGGTTTGGTCTTTTGTAGTGGGGGGGGGGGGGTGTGTGTTGGGTGGGGGTGGGGGGGGGGGGGGGGGGGTGTTGTATCAGACTGAAGGACTCCCATTAAATGGCCTCGTTCTCACTGCAGCCAAATAAAGACCTTTCCACAGAGCAACAGCGGTGGGTGTGATTGCATTATTGATTTGTTTCAGCAGAATTGTCAACTCTTCACCTCCTCACCACTGGTGCACTTCTAACATATTGGCTGTAATGTCAAGTGGGAGATCATTTTTAACACCCAGCGGTGCTCAGAGATAACAGGAACTTTCTAAAAATGTCTCTGTAACAAATAATCGCTAAGGGTCTAAAAGGAAGTGGCTAAGCGGCAGCATTTATTAAAAAAAAAAAAAAAAAAAAAAAAAAGAAATTGTTTTTATGATGCAGTGTGACTTAAAGTGGAGTCATTTTCTGAAAGTTAAATATATGACCTTAAACTACCCCATACTCTGGAGACTGATAGTATCTGTGGTGTTAGGATGATAGCCCCATAAACTGATATATATTTGCTTTTGAACTGAAGGACCAACATGGACAGTACAGTGCACTTCTAACTGAACCATATATTCAGAGTGAAAATTTGGGATCTGCAACCTATGGCTCCTGTTCCACATGCAGATCATGGCTTTTAAACATTGGCTCCCTGTGAGATCATAATTGATCAAAATGATGAAACTAATAAACCAAGATGGAGAGATACAGGCTGCAAAGGCTTTTGGGAAATATATTTCTGTGTAATGAAGAAGTACTATTTGTAATTAATTAAAAAAAAAAAAGTTAAAATCAAGAAAGGTTAAAGTCCAAGCAGTGGTTAGGGTCAGGCACCGGTCTAATCCTGTTTTGGTTCATCATTATACCATAACAGCCATAAAAAAAGTTTTGTTTTCCCTCCTCGCTGCCTCCCTGACTTCACCCATAAACCAGTTGGCACCGCCCTGATTTGTGAGAGCTCGTCGTACGTCTTCTCCACACTACAGTATGTCAGTTGTATGTCTGTGAACCACAGCGTCCGTGAGCTACGAGGCACTTTTATGGCGGTGATTTGTTTTTCCTGGACGCCAAAGTTAATATTAATGGATTTATCGCTAAGAAAAGTTTGCAGTCCATCTGAAGGGGGCAGCAGAGAGGAGGTTAGATCAGGAACAATGGTT